ATGTGCAGGCAATCACAAAACCAGCACTGTTTGCAGTGCAAAGCACTCCACGTTTAATTAATTTGACGGCAATTTCAGGACGGCAAGTATCCCTTCCTTACTAGTTCTAAAGGAAAGCTCTCGAGAGTTTTAAATTCCTTCGAAAACCTCCAATCTTTATGTGGGTTGTATTTACAGCGTAAAATAAAATTTCAAAACTTCCAGAAAACTAGGATTGAAACCCATATCAAACTGTTGCACTGATAAAGGTTTTGTACTTAGAGTAATATAGAAACCACCAAAAATTTAAAAAAACCTGCTTTTAGAATATTGTCCCTGTCAGCTACTGACATTATCGTGAAGACGCAAGAGCAAGCAGCATTGGCATGAACAAGACGCCAGGCTCAACAGACAATTCCCGTTTGTTTTTTTGCCAAATGTTGTTACTCATTTTTAACTGGACCTTTTCTAGTTTTGCATTTCAGAACATAAGAAACTCTGAGATATACCTGAATATCATATAGGAGTGTTTTACAGTCCATTTAAACAACTTCTGTTTAAATTGCCTTTTAACTGTACTATTTATTTGTACTTTTAGTTCTCCTCATGAAACCATTTGCTTGAAGCTCCAGAAACTTTAAACCTAAATGAAAAAGATGTCACAATACAGAAACATTCCAAACTAAAATACGGGATGGATCCTTTGGACTCAACACTTGGTTTCCAATTCACAACCCACCACAGAGATACTAAACTGAATACCTATAAGCTGTGAATCACTGCTTCAACAGATTTATCCCTTTAATCATACTAAAGAAGGAACTGGCAAATGGTACTAGCTAAACTCTACCATCTCCACAGTCAGCTCTCCAATAATGGATATAGTAAAAGAAGAAAATATGCTCAACTCCTTGGGATATGGCAAAACCACATATTTGTCTTCACTTCAAGGAATTATAATGAATAAACTAACTAGAAGTGTTTTCATCCTACTTCTGGAAGCATTAAATTACAACAGCTTTAATTTGCCTGACCTAAATCATCCCTGTAAGACAATCAGAGAGAGGTTAAGCCTATGACAGATGCACAAGACGATGATTCCAGAAGTCTGGATACTGTTTCTTCCCGTTTCACAGAATGTGCAAAGCATTTTCAGTAACAATGCCAACTTCTCTGCAATTGTGTGGAGGACCTTCATTTCCACATCTGAAATGCCAGCGATGTGGGACTTTGGACTCAATCCCTGCAGTGACGTATAGCGAGTGTTCACACAAAGATCCCATTAAAGTTTACGGTACTCAAACACCAGTTTGTATTCTCAGATCCCACCCAGTGACATTCTGCTTGACTTAATACAAACTGTTTCTATCCTCTTAACCTTTCTCAACAGCAGCAGAGAGGAATATCAGCTACACTTACACAGTACACTAGAGAATTGTTAAAACTATACTCCTTGACATCACACCCAGCAGAATGATGTAGTTTACAAAGATTAAAATGGGATTCTCAGAAAATTTCACATATAGAGTAGACCAATCACAAGTAAGTCAGATCAGAGTGTGCTCAACATAGAATTAAAGATCTCTTCCTTAATTCTACTTTACGTTTTTATGCAATAATCCGATAAACTACAGTGAAATTTGTGTGGTACTGAGCCACCTAGTGGTTACTTTAAAAAAAAAAAGGGCTCATTTTCAGAAATCAAAATGAACAGGTTGGATGTATGAAGAAATCACATAACATAAACGACAAAAGAGTAGAAAGGAATTCAGCCACATCACTTCCAGTTTGCTCCGTATCCTGACTACAAAACCGGACATCCTCCAAAGACAACCAACTGTCCTGGTTTATAGACGACCTGCCAGTGACATTCTACTAACAAGTCTTTTCACGACATAAAAATCACTAAAGTTGCAAACTGGAATAATCAATGCTTTTGCTAAATTGTCAGTCATAGTCACGGAAGGAGTTTTAATCTAAGGGGGGCATTGAAGACAGCGCAAGCAACAGAAAAGGAGAGACTGAAGAATACATTTATCACTGTCATAGAAACGTGGACTGCAAGACAGTAGATCTGCCATGTATCACCGAATCCATTCCCTGCTTTCCTACACAACTACATCATAGCCATAATAAATTGTAACTTAAAACAAGTTTCATCTCTTAGTTGGAACTCCTATGGAAGCATAAGCTGGGACCTAAGACTTTGCACTGTTCATTACAGGATTTTATAACAAAATAAAAAGCAAGAGCCTGAGCTCTTGAAATCTAGTGCTTTTATTGAAGTTCCATAGTGACATACAAAATACAGTGTATTATCGAGATGCTTATAAAAATGAATAGGGACACTATAGCAAGTGCATGAGAAACATCAAAACAAAGTTGCATTGAAGATACAGGCTCCAAGGGAATCCTGTCCAGCTATTTCAAAAAGGAACTAAACAGTCTTCTCAGTAGTCTGTGAGCTACTGCTCATTGTCCTTTTTTTTTTTTTTAAATAGTTGGAGAACTGTTACATAAGAACAGAAATATATTAAACTACCTACAAAGTCCCTGTTGGATTAAAGCACAACTATGTTGTAGTTTTCACAGGAGATCATAAAAAGGTAGTTCTTCAAAGAGCCATCCTATTTGAGGAAAACTATTTGTTAGGTTAAAGATAAGCCGAAGTCCAATTCAGCAGTATTGCAGATGCTGTCAGCATACACTTCTTTTTGCAGTTCTCTCCATTTCAATATTTGCTCTTCCAGCTCCTCCAAGTCCATCGCGAGCACCTCTGTTTTTGTCAAAGCAGTGTCCTGAAGCAGAAACAGAGTTTGATTTCATCTCTATACATCCTGTCATTCTAGCAGGACATAAAAGTAACCTAAACAACCAAACAGCATTGAATTCTTAATGCTGGGGGAGACAGAAGGCTCAGTTCTTTTGATACTCACCATATTCTTCATGATGTTTGGTATCTGAGGGATGATTCTTGTGGTCTGCAAATGGCTTTCAAGCTTCTCAATGAAAGTCACAGCCTCAGCCAACAACTCTACTACATACCTGTAACCAAGAATGAGCCCCCTACTCAGAAGCTGTGCAAAACAATGAGGGTTTAACACTTTCAAGCTCTTATTTCTTTCCCCTGTGGGTTTTTCAGTCCTCTTCTCCAGTTTTATGCAAGTTACTAACCATCTAATTAATTTCTCTGCAATTACACTTCTTTTGTGGCACTCAGCAACAAGCATTGCAGGAATTAAAGAAGTGAATATGCACTTCTTCAGCAACTGGACTAGATTTTTAGACCATAAGAAGGAAGACTATATTTTTAAAACACGTACTATGCATATCTGGGATTCATTCACAGACTTATTCTGAGCAAGTCAATAGTGAAAGGAAGACACCAAATGCTCAAGTAACCATTCCTACCTATGCAGAAGCATAATGAATCAAGCCCTTAACATGTCTAAGACAATACATCACAAATTGTTCTGTAACCTTCAGAAGACAAGACCAATAACCTAAGCAAATATTCATAAAAATACGTATCACTACCCTTTATGAATTTAGCAATGAGTAAACTACTAGCTTTTAGTTGACATTCTCCTACCATTTTTTATGTCTGTTTTTATACATGGAAATGTGAATGATAGCATGTGATTTTCACTGCCTATCAGTTCAAATTAATTTGGACTCACTGAAACAAAACCCATGTATTTTCTATGCAGAATCATAGAATGGTTTGGGTTGGAAGAGACCTTACAGATCACCTGCCATGGGCAGGGACACCTTCCACCAGACCACGCTGGTCCAAGCCCCA